TTCTCTCATTTAGATTGGGCTTTTTCAAAACAATAAGGCGATCCGATCTCCATTCTATGCAGCAAAATTAAAGCGAACGAACGTCTTTGTGTTTATTTGCCAAGCAAGGCTTGCCTCTGTCCGCTTGGCAATTCGTACCGGTTGCTGCTTGCTGAGCAAATTTGAAAGGGAAAACGAATGACATCGACAGTCAGCTGTGCTGCTGCGACATCAAATGGTGAGTGAGCGTGCAGGGAGGGATTCTTTGCGCATTTGCAGACGGGGCATCGATCTCACTCGTGACTCCTACTGGACCGCGAGTGCAGGCTGAAGCTAGGCGGTCCAAAGATGATTGGGCGCGTGATTGCGCTGACCATCATTGAACTCGAATCTTGAAGAACGACGCTCGCGTGCTGGTCAGATGGCAGGTCACCCTTTTCGTTCCAGCTACTCACACTCACGACTGGTACACGAAAACTGCACGTTACAATGTCTGTGCTGTGCGCCAAGCAAATATGCACGGTCCGCCGATCAGACTTGCCTAAAGTTTCGCATCGCAATCGCCTGAACCTCTTGAGAAAGAGCCACACCTACAATCGTGAATGTTGATCGAGGGATGTGTCGATGAGCCGAGGTTTGAATGAGATGCGACCTTCTTCCCTCGACGCAGCCAGACGATGCAAAGCCCCCTGCCTCCCTTTCGACAATCAGGATCCTCATTGCTGCGATTCACGCTTCGAATCGTGGGGTCTTGTAATCACGAATCTTGATCGTGAATCTCTATTTCCATGCACAATGCCATCATCAGGACTTTTGTCCGCGTAGAATTACCAGTGCACCGTGAATGTGGCTTGCATTGCGAGTCGTGAGTCTCTAATGGCATGAAATTGGCATCATCAAATGTGGAATACGTGGGCCCCATGCATGGAGACGGCGGGGGGCGAGTAGAAAGGAAGGCTCTTCTCGACTCTTCACAACCCGGCAATCCTATCCCTGCTGCCTGTCCAGCGCATTCACACTTACGACTTCAACTTGCCGAGCGATGGTCATCAGGCAGCCCCGTTCGCTACAAAGCCTCTGGCAAGCCTCGCTCCTTTTGGAATTTTGGGGGGGCAGAAGATGACACGATTCGCGCGACGGGGACAAGTGGCGAAAGCGAAAGCGAAAGCGAAAGCGAAAGCGAAAGCGAAAGCGAAAGCGAGTGCGAGGGCTTGACGTCTTGTCTCGAATGCTTACCGCAGCAGGAGTGAGCGCTACTCTCCCAGGCTTTCCAGACATGGGCCTTGGGCAGATGTGATCTTAGCAAAGGAGCTGCGACACCGCTATGCACCTCTATCAGGTTTCATTCGCAAGGTTTGTTTGCTCAAAAGCTCGGTCGGTTCGACTCTGCTCCAGAGCGGTTCGGAACGCTCACCTTACCGTACGTGACACCGCAAATGACGCTTGTTTCTCATGTTTTGAGATTCATCATATTTGCAACATGCCCACATAAAAAAGTCTTTCCAATTCTCCGATAGCTTTGCTCCGCAATTGGCCCATGTTCGTGCTCTCATCACGACCGAACGCGCAGGGGGAGTTCTTTGGGAGCAAAAGCAAGTCGAGGCTTGCAAACACACGACAGCTTCACAGCTTAGCGTTGGGCTCCAGCTCTCCAATCTTCAACTTTGCTCCGATCTTGGATAAGATCTTCTCATTGTGATACTGCGTGATGCAACAGGAGATGAACAGCATACTCTCAGCACGTATCCGAGGTACGTGCTGCGGTGGCATGTACGTCCAAACATCAATACTTACAGTCCAGAAAGCCTCCGAAGCGTCTTTGCCCGACATGCGCAGCACCGGCTTCTTTCCTCCAGGGTGCTGCGAAGGGGCCGAACGCGGCGAGGTGTCAGATCATCGTGTCCGCTATGCTGCCCAGCGGAGTCCATGTGCTCGCTGGCTATTTGAGCAAAAAAAAAACTACAACGGAGGCCGATACTCACATCGTCAAGGAAAGAGGTCATGTCGTACACACCTCCATCGATCACAACCCAAATGGACTCCTCTGCATCGGTGTGGGCGATGACAAGTTGAGAGTTCTGTCAGGTGAAAACGTCTTCTTCCGTCCATTGCTACGACCTTTAAGATGAACGCATAAGGCACGTAACGTGTGCGCACTACTTTGTTTTCCCCCCCCC